CTCACTGTAGTTCTTTCTGCATCATGAAACTAAGATACACAGCCTTTCAAGCAGTCTTGGGACCCAGAACTCAGAAAGCTCAAGGGTATGTGTGCATCAAAACCAGAACTCCTGATACCTTGATCTGGGGCTGGATGATGTGGGGGACAGGGTAGGTTTGTTCTGTGCACTGTCTTGGGCATCCTGCAAGGGCAATGACAGCAGGAGGATCAGGAGAAATCTTCTCAAATAAGCTGTGGTTGGTTTCCTTCTGCATCTGAACAATGTTCCCAGGGACGGGTCAAAGTGGTCAGTGCAAAGCCAAGACAGCATGGAACAAAGGTTTCCAAAAAGAAAATCCTCTATTCAGCAGAGTTCTGACATGTACTGGGGGAATAACCATGAATGAACTTTTACAAATAGGGACAATGCTATTACTTTTTGTCAACTTGGGAAGAGTGAACCTCAGTCGAGGAACTGCCTCCACTGGATTGGCCTGTGGGGGCATTTTCTTGATTGCTGATTGATGTGGCAGAGCTCAGCCCAATGTGGGCAGGGTCATCCTGGGCAGGTTGTCCTGGGTTGTATAAGAAAGCAGGCAGACACTGCTCCTCACCCCTTGCAACCTCAGCAGGCAGGAGAGCTGGCCCTGGGGTCACAAGACTGGGGGAGCTGCCCCTGCCTCTCACCGGCTGCAGCACACGAGAGCGAGAGAGCGAGAGCGAGAGCGAGAGCGAGAGCGAGAGCGAGAGAGAGAGAGAGAGAGAGAGAGAGAGAGAGAGAGAGAGAGAGAGAGAGAGGAGAGCTGACTCTGTCCCCCCTGGTCTGCCATGTGGTGGGTGGCACGGATGAGGGAAAGGTGTTCCCACCCACCCCTCCCTTTGCCACCTGCCGCAGGCAAGAGAGCTGGCTCGAGGAGGGGGCATTGAGCAGAAGAGCTCACCCTACCCCTCATCAATTGCAGCACTTGGAAGAGTGGGCCCTGCACCTCACCCGGGCAAAACAGGAGAGCTGGCCCTGGTGTTGTGGGTGCAAGTGAGCTGGCCCTGAGGTCACGAGAGCTGCAGAACTGGCCCACTCCTTGCTGGGTGAGCTAGCCAGGGCAGTGCTCGAGAGCTCACCCTAGTGGTGATAATGAGGGAAAGCTGGTGGGCTGACCAGCCTAGCTACCACCCAGGCCCAGAACTGGGGCTATGAGTTAGCTCACTCCAACATCCATGTTATTTATGAAAAGGGGCCAGACCTGCAGATCCAAAGCTGCTGGATCTCCACGACACAGGGCAACAACAGGATATCCAAGAGGAGTCCCAGTGAGGGTCTAGTATTGATAGTGTAGCAGGAACCAGAAGCTTCAAACCAGAGCAATGACTCATTGCAATGAACACTTGCAAGTGAAGGTGTAGGGATTAAAGGGTGTACTGTGTGACTCACTTGTCATGCTGCAGCTTTCATGATGAGACTGTTTTTATCTTTGCCTTTTTGTTTTTCTTTTAAATTTCATTTTTTTTGGGGGGGAGAGGTTGCAAGGGCAGAGGGCAGATATGAAGAGATGGGGAGATGAATGAGACCAGGATGCATGATGTGAAATACACACACACACACACACACACACACACACACACACACACACACACACGCACACACGCACGCACACACGCACGTACGCACGCGCGCACACACACACACAAATCACTAGAAAGGTTAAAGAATAAATAAATAAATAAGTAAGTAAGTAAGTAAATAAGTAAAGCAAACAAGTAGGTTGAGAAAGCCATGGAGGGCAAGTCTATATGCAGTGTTCATTCACGGCCTTTGCTTCAATTCCTGCCTCCAGCTCCTGACTTGGCTTCCCTCCTTGATTGTACCTGCTGGTTTGAGTGTCAACTTGACACAAGTCATCAGAAAGGAAGAAGCCTCAGCTGAGGAAACCCATGAGATCCAGCTGTAAGGCATTTTCTCAATTAGTGATCAATGGAGGGGGGGCAGCCCATGGTGGGTGGTGCCATCCCTGGGCTGGTGGTCTTGGGTTCTATAAGAAAGGTTGAGCAAGCCAGGGGAAGCAAGCCAGTAAGCAGCATTCTTCCATGTCCTCTGCAACAGCTCCTGCCTCCAGGATCCTGCCCTGTTTGAGTTCCTGTCTGTGGAAGTATAAGTCAAATAAACCCTTTTTTCCCCCAACTTGCTTTTTGGTCATTACAACAACAGAAGCCCTAACTGAGACAATGAAGCAAACCCTTTCCTTTTGAAGTTGTGTTTGGTTATTGAGGTGTTTTGAATGAAAATAGCCACCATAGGAGAGGTGCTATTAGGAGGTGTGACCTTGTTGGAGTAGGTGTGGCCTTGTTGGAGGAAGTGTGTCACTGGAAGTGAGCTTTGAGATTTCAGAAGCTCAAGCCAGGCCCAGTGTCTGCTCTCTCTTCCTGCTGCCTTCAGATCCAGATGCAGAACTCTCAGCTACCTCCCCAACACCATGTCTGTGTACATGCTGTCATGCTTCTTCCCAAGATGACAACGGACTAAACTTCTGAACTGTGAGCCAGCCCCAATGAAATGTTTTCCTTTCTAAGAGTTGCTGTGGTCATGGTGTCTCTTCACAGCAACAGAAACTCTAATTAAGACAGTTGGGTTTATCCCAGGAACAAAAACCAAACCGGAACGGGGGCAGAAGCTGTTTCCGCCATGCTGATAAGCAGTTCATTGGGAATATAATCCTTCTGAATGCAGGGAGTCAGTGGTGCTTATGACCTTGCTGGAAGGCAAGCCTGCAAAGAGTCGAGTGATGGGGGATGTCCTTATTGTATGTTGTGAATATATGTTTCTTCTATTGGCTGATAAATAAAGTGTTTCAGCCAATGGACAGGCAGGATGTTGCCAGGTGGGGCTAACAGACTAGGAGAATTCTGGGAGGAGGAATACAGAGAATTAGTCTTGAGAGACATGCCATGTAGCTGCTGAGGAAGATATAGGTTTGGGCATCACTGGTAAGCCAAGACCATATGGAGATACACAGATTAATAGAAATGGGTTAATAATTAAGAGAGAGCCAATAAGAAGCCTGAGCCAAACAGTTTATGATTAACATAAGTTTCTGTGTGTTTATTTGGGACTAAATGGTTTGGGGACCAGGTGGGACAGAAACCTTTATCTGTAGTTGAGAACCTAGGAATAACTTGACTTCTAGACATTGGTTGGAAAGATATCAGTATGTGAGTTGGTCTTTGTTCTTCTATTATGTACATATATATAAGACCCCAAATCTGTTCCTCTACTTCCAGAGAGAATGGAACCTGAATGTTGGTCTGTTGCAGTGGCTCTCACTGGGGCAGGTTTTGTTCCCACAGGAATATGTAGCAATGTCTAGGGGCATCTTTGGTTGTCATAACTAGAGGAGTGTGTGACAAACCAGAGACACTACTAAACATCCTATGGTATAGACACCCCCCCCCCCACCTGCAAGCTATTCAGTTCCAGTTCAGAAATGTCAGGAGTGTTAAGCATATGAAACCCTAGTCTGGTGCAAATGTAAATATGCTCTCAGATGGAGGAGGTGTGCTCCTGGCACCAGCGTAGGATGTACTGGGGATGGGGCATGGCTAATGTGTGACCTTTCCTTGATGACAAGTACTGGAGAGAGGGTGGTGGGATGGTAAAAATTCTGGGGCATAAATGAACATGAACAAATACTGAGGAGAGGGTGGTAGGACAGTAAAAATTCTGGAGCATAAATGAGCACAAATGCAGCTCTTGGCTAACCCCTCAAGGTAGATAGAGGGAGAAGGGCAGAGTTTTTCATTTGAAGTCAACTCTTACTTATTTAAAAGCGATTTCCTTAAGCACATAATTATATGTTTATTTCCCTAAGGAACTCTCGAGGCAGAGGAGACTTGCTTAAATTATGGGGAGGGAACTGCACACAGGGCTTTAATGGGGTTAGAAAAATTTTCTGTCTCCTTCAAAGGAGCCCTGGGAGGAAGGTAAGAGCAGACTCTGCTCTGGCAGTGCAGGGGATATGGGGAGGAACAGATAACAGAGAGGCTGAGGACTGGTCACACGGCCCAGTTTATCAGTGCTGGTGAGGAGACACAACTCTGGGGCACAGCCTTGGCTGGCTGCTCACTTCTCCGTGTGGGTAAACTCTCACAGTGAGCAGCAGGAGCTGAGGAAATGTACCTTCCACTCTCTTCCTGGGCTATGTCCTCCTCAGGAAAACATTACACAGACATGCACACTCCCTTGGGGGATGGTCTGGTTTGCATCATGGGCAGGTGTGGGAGTGGCAGGGTGCATGGAGCTTTTGGTGAGAGGAAGGCCAAGGTTTCATGCAGTATATACTTCCTCTTTCCCCACCACAGCCTGAGTGCCTGGACTTGTTGAGTTTTTTCTCTTTGGCTGATATATTCCTGTTGGAGGGCTAGACAGGATCCAAGAAAATAGTTGTGGGGTGGATTCCCCACATGAGACACAGAAAGGATTCTACGTGAGGGCATCTTACATTTCTTGTTCAACTAAGTCATTTGTGCAAGAGGGGGTGAGCTGAATAATGTTTAGTTAGGGGTAGCAGAGGATGGGGAGAGAAGTACTGTGGAGGGGATAGCATAGACACAGCTCTGGTCTTCGATACAAGAGATGGAGGCTATAGGGGAATTCTTGACTATTCTGTCCTGTACCTGGAATGGTAGAGATGGCCTTTAGTATCTATCATGTGGGAAGAGACTGTCACTACCCATCTTCTCCAGAAGGGTTGGGCTCCTGAGAGTAGGAAGCATGTTTTATTTTGCTGAGTCACTTCCACCTCTAACAGCACGTAGTTCACACAGGCACACCATATATATCTCAGGATGCATCTCCCTTATTCAGTCCAGCCTATTATGGCAGAAGACGGCACAAAAATTCAGACTGACATTATAGAAGAGTCCACTGGGCTCATGGATGACACCCATCTCATCTCTGCAAAGTCCAAAGTGTGGTGCTAATGGCAGAACAGAGTCCTACAAGGGAGAAGTGAGGAAGATAACACCCGATTGAAACATAGCCAAGAGCCATAGCCCTGGAGTTGTTTATTTGATTACTTAATATCCACTCCGTTTAACCATCAAGACTCAGTTCTGACATTCCTTGGCTTGAGGCTGGGGATGACATAGGGAGAGGCTGGAGTACACCTGAGGCTAGTCAGAGGTGGCCAGCTCCACAGGGAAAGAGGGGATGAGGGGGAGAGGGAAGGAAGAAGCGGGGGACGAGGAAGAGAGGAGAAGGGGAGAGAGAGATTTGTGACATCCATGTCTTCTGTACCCTTAGAAGAACAAAGGCGACGACCCAAGTGGAGTAGATGAACCCACATAAGGGGTGACACCAACAAGGACATTCCTGGTGTGGGAGTGTAGAGCCCCAAGGCTGCTTAGAGCTGGGTGGTCACAGACATGGATCCCTTTCACCAGCCAGTTCTCCAGAAACCATATCACATAGTTTAGGGAACAGCACCTAGAATTCCAACATCTTCATGGAGACAAAAGTGTATGTTGCACGCCTGTCCCATCCTATTTTCCAGAATTGTGACCATAGGCTTTTCTGAGCTCTAGTCACCTCATCCAAAGAACAGAATGGTTTTTCATCTTTTCTATGACCCAGGGCTACATGGAGTTGATGTACTGGGAGTGCTGTGTAAATGCTATTCAGTTATATGAGTTCATGCTAGTTATTAACTCATATTCATGGGGTCTCAGCCATCCTGTCAATCAGGTATGGCTTTGGGGAGAGACTATTTTTGTCCAATAGGAGGCAAAGGGAACTGAAGGCTGTAGAACTTTAGTTCACTTTCCTTCCTCCCTCGCCACATTTTTCATATGCAGCAGGAGAGAGGGGAAGCTGTTGAGTTCCTTATTTTGTTCGCTGGTAGAACTTAAAGACAGCTTTCTCTTGTTCATAAGTCTCAATGGATCCTGGCCGCAGGCGCCGGATCTCAGCAATGGCATCTCCTGCATCCAGGCCCTGCTCCTTCACCAGGTAGCAGGCCAGCATGGTACCAGTGCGGCCAAAGCCCAGGGCACAGTGTACTCCGACAGCCTGTGAAGAGGAAACTGATGGGGTGGTGTCCAGTGTCCTCCCTAGCAGCCTCCTGTCCCCACTGAAAGGTACTGTTCTTCCCCCAAATCGCAGGCCCTCAGAGAACAAGTGACATCAAAGCTGCTGAGAACTGTCCTTGCTTCTGGTGACATGGAGGCCTCTGAAGTGGCTGGTTCCCAAGTTGGCCTCTCAGCCTGCATTTCCTGCCCCATCTGTCTGTGCTATCTGGTACAGAACACCCAGCCACTTGTGGTATTTTACCTGAAATGTGCCAGTCCAAACTGAGCTTGGGTGTAAAATATTTACCAGGCTCCGAAGATGTGGCACGAAAAAGACTGGAAATGCCTCACTAATAATTTATTTCATATTGATTCTATGTTGGAATAATATTTTTTTGACTTATTGGATTAGTAGCAAAATTAACTCCACCTGCTTCGTTTCATCTTTTTAAAAAACGTAGCTGCTAGTAAAATTTAAAGTTACAAGTGTGTCTCCATGACATATGGACCTCTAGAAAATGGGTTTTGAACCACTTCCATCTGGCTTCGGCACTCCGCCGACTCCTGGAAGTATTTCACTTGACAGTACTCTCTCCAGCCTACCTGGCAACACCTTCTCTCTCTTCTAGAAGCATAGTTGACTCTGGTCTGTAGATGGATCCATCTAGCTCCGGCCCAGGCCGGTCCCACTGGGCCCCTCCCCACCCGCCCCGCCCCACTCCACCCCGCCCACCCCGCCCCGCAGCCTTGCCCTCTCCTTCCTGACTCCACCCTCCCTCCCCGGCCCCCGCCCACTCATTTCCATCCAGGGTCCGTCCGCCCTTTCTCTTTGGCTCACACGCGCTGACCTCTCCCCGGGCGTTGGCCTCGTCCACGATCTTCACAAATTGGTCGATCTGTTCTGGGGCTGGCGGGCAAAAGTCAGGGATGCGGAGTCGGTGCAGCGTGAGGCCCGGATATCTGTCGCTGTGAGGGGGTACACGCTCCGTCAGGGACACCAGGTGCCGCACGCCCAGGTCCTGCAGGAACTGGTAGTGCGCGGGGACCCGCGGCAGCGCCAGCCCGGCCAGCCGGCCCGGGAGCACCCAGGAGAAGTTGGGGGGCTGCACGCCCATCTTGGGGGCGGGGAGGGCACTCAGGGTGAGGCTAGCTTTTCCTACTCTGCCTTTGCGACCTGGTCACCCTCTGGCGGGTCACGTGGTCCCTGTGACGCTCCTCTCCGCACAAGGTTGGCTGAACAGCGGGGGCGGAGCTAAGACGGCTCCTAGACAAGCAGAGCCCTGCGGTCCCACTAGTCCCGCTGATCCGGAGCAGGATCATCCTCGTTGATAGGTTGGATAATCGACAACAAGCTCGATTATTGCAGCCGGGAGCGAATACACTAAGGAATCCTGGAACAAATTAATTGCTCCTAGGGCGGGGCTCTGCTGCTCCCTGGTGGTGTGTTGTAGTTACTGCAACGTAGGCCACCTGTCCCTGTCACTCCTAAGGGCCTAGTCTCGCCTTCACTGTTTATACATAAGAGGCTACAGAAGCCTACAGAGACAGCTGACCTGAACAAGGGGAGCTTATGGACCCCTCCAGACTGATAGCTGGGAATCCAGCATTGGACCCCTGAATGTGGGTCTCAGAAGGCCTGGGCAGTCTAAGGGACCTTGGACAGTGGAACCAGGATGAGCACGTTCCCCATGGAGGGATGGATACTCCTTTAGCCTAGAGGCAGGAGGGAGGGCCTAGACCCTACTCCAAATGACTTGACACAATTCGATGATCCCCCCTGGAAGGCATCACCCTCCCTGTGGAGTGTGTGTGGGGGTATGGGATGGGAAGGGGGATGGGGGTATGGGAGGGAGAGGGAACTGGGATCGATATGTAAAATAAGAAAAAATTAAATGTGTGTGTGTGTGTATGAGTTGAAATAGGTGACAAAACTACTTCTGTCTGAGCACTCGGGTGTGGGTGGGTAATCTCCCTAATGACCAAGCCGCCATTGTTGGCGTCTTCTTGGGTTCTTTAGTAAGAGGGTGAGGCTTATTCAGTATTCTACATTAGTAAGGGGAGGGAGAAGAGGTCCCGGTCCCCCTACCCCCCAAGTGTACCTTTGGGGTCCTGGCATGAGGTTTAGGTTTAAGTGCAGAGTAAGAGTTATATAAGCACAACAGTATTTCTGGTCAAGGTGTGGTCCTGCCCATCACCTTAACCTCTCTGCTTTAGTCTCTCATGTGAGTAGTCGCGTTGTTGGAACTTGTGGAATCTTTCTGGGAGACACATCAGTTCCCCATCTAGCAGACATCAGACTCCTTCCCAGCCTTTCCCTTCCCCAGCTTGAGACTCCTGGGGAAATTCCAGTATTGTGGAATCCATTGTTTCAGCAATTGGACAGCCTGAGGGAAGGATTATCTCCATTTCTGCCCATGACGTCAAAGTTGTCCCATGACTTCAGCAAAGTCTAAGTTCTCCTTCCCCGAGGTGGACAGCCTATGCAGACATTTCAGGAACTGCCAGGTCTCTCCCCTTCCAGTAGAGTCCAAATGAAAGACTTCCTGGCTGACACTGCCACTTCCCCCAGAGTTCTCCGCCTTCCTAGCAGCCCAGTCTTCCTCCTGAATTGTGTGGCCTGTGAGCTGCTGTCACTATACTCAGCTTCTCTCAGATGACCATCTTCAGGGTTTCAGGCCGGCTGCCTCTGGGATTAACACTTCAGGAGCTGTGCTTGTGAGCGCATCACTGCTTGGGCCCTTTACCTTCTCACTCCCTTTGTTCCTCCGATTTGTCAGGGAAGAACTTCCCACGGTCTTCTTGCCCACCCCTTATCTCCTTGCTATGGAGCTCTGAGCCCGTCTTCTTTCGTGGGAAAAGAGTTTTGAGGGAGACAGATTCTCCTCTCTCTCAAGCCCTGGAACTGTAGCAGTGTGCTCTCTCTCCTGTGAATCTTGCCATTCCCACCCAGGTTTCCCTATGGAAAGGCCTGTTGGTCCCTCTCTTTTGTCTGCTCATCTGTCTCAGGGTCCCTGTCTCAGCTGTGCCCCAAGGCCAGGGGTCTCCTTTAATATTCTGTTTTGGCAGAGTGTTTCTATAAGAAAGATCTCTGCTGGAGTTCTGACTAGGTCTCCTGTCACTAATAACCATGTCAGCCCCTTACACAATCCCAACAGAATCCTCCAGTCTGTTTAGGGCTGTCTGGGCCTTAGGAGGGTTTAGGCTCTTTGTCTCTTACCTCCTACTGTGGAGTTACTTTGTTGAGCAAGGTTTCCTGGTTTTTTTGGAACCAAGACTGACTTGTTGAATCTTTTCATTCTACTTGGAACCTGAACATGGTGTTCAAAATGTTAAGGAAATGGGTGAAAAAAATAAGGACATTGCATAGGCAAGACATGCACCAAGACACTATGAGTCTCTAGGATGTTTGTGGATTTTAATTGCATGAGGACTGTGATGGATGTTATGTGCAACTTATTTTAAAACTTCATTTTTTATTGCAATGAAATCCATACACTAAAACATGCCATACATATGCACTTCAATGAATTTTTACACGTGTATAACTTATACAACCATCAGTTAAAGTAGATAAAGAATGTGTCCCCATATTAGACTATTTGTTTGTTACGTTTCTGCTTTTATTTTCCTGAGACGCTTACATTTTTTTTTCCTTTTTGACAGTTTCATACAAAGCACTGTGACCCTTTCCCATCCCTTCATCACCCTCTCATCTTCTTTTGCAAGATGAGTCTCCATCTTATAGACCCTCCTTTTCCTGTCTCTCCCTTTAAGAAAGCAATTCTCTGTTTAATTACTATTTTTGTAAAAGGACCACTAATTGGAGATGTCATTCTGTATATAGGTTTCTCTTATTGGTTAACGAATAAAGCCCTGTTGGCCAATAGGAACACAAGATAGGTGGGGCTAGGAGACAAGGAGGATTCTGGGAGATGCAGTAGGAGGAGTCAATATGTAGGTCAGGTGAGGAATAAGAGGTCTAGACGCTCTATCCCTCTGGTAAGACTATGTCGAAACAGATCGATAGAAATGAGTTAATAGCTAAGACAGAGCTAGCCAACAAGAAGCTCTAGCCATTGGCCAACAGCTTTATAGCTAATGGAGTCTCTGTGTGTTATTTTGGGACTGACGAGGCTCTGGGACCAGGCTGGTGGGAAACTTCTCATAACAGGCCACATTTCTTGGTCTTTATGGGCACAGTCCCTATTATATGCTCACATATTGGTAGTATATGGGTATGTATGTGCCGAAGGACATGTTTTTGGGGAGCAGTAAGCTTTAGTAATTTTCCTACTTCAAGGAATGTATGACATACTTGGGGGGATTGAGGCACAGATATAATTATTCCCAGAACACATAGTAACTACTAAACTGCTCATCAAAGCAATTGTCATTATCAGACGATCAGATAATATATAGTCAAAAGCTAATTGTGCAATGAAAATAACAAGCATGAGAGAAGTCAGCAATGGAGGGAGGTGCTTGGAACCACTAGAAGTTTCTAAAGATGGACTCTTCCTTTTCCATTTCATTCTCTGTCCTTTCATGAGCTCAGTGGAATGGTTTTTAGCATGTGCTAACTACCCCGTCTCTAGTTGATAATGATGTTTTGACTTAATTCTTGTGTGTGTGCATGTGTGCAGGCATGTGCACACCTGTCTTAGAAATACTTTTCTATTTCTATGCTAAGACATGACAAAGATAACATAAAATGTTTAATTTGGGGCTTACAATGGTTCCAGAGGGCCAGAGTTCATTACTATTATGGTGGGGAGCACAGCAACAGGCAGGTGGGCAAGCAGGCATAGCACTGGAGTAGTAGCTGAGTGCTCACATCTCATTCCACAAGCATGAGGTGGAGAGAGAGAGGGAAAGTGAGAGAGAGGGAGAGGGAGGGAGGGAGGCATGGGCTTATGCATTTGTTTATTCTATGTGTCTTTTACATCATGTATCTTGATCCCATTCATTTCCCTGTCCCTTCAAATCTTCCCTCCTCTCCTGCACACCCCCCCCCAAAAAAAAAAACAAAATTTAAGAGGAAAAAAGGAAAGAAGAAAAATGGAAAAACGTAGAAATCTCATCTTGGAAGCTGCACTGCAGTTTGACACAGTAAGTCATGCTGTGAACCCTTTGTCCATTGCAAAGAGTCTTTGGTCTGGCTGAAGGCCTCTGGTTCCTGCTACCCTATTGATGCTGGGCCCTCACTCGGACTCCTCCTGGATATCCTGTTGTTGTCCTGTGTTGTAGAGATTCTCCAGTTTCAGGCCTGCAGGTCAGGTCCCTTCACAGCTCCAGCAGATCTTATATGTGGTGGATGATGGGGCAGGCCAACTCACTGACCGGGTTCTGGGATGGGGCAGCTGTAAGGTTGGTCCGCCAGATGTGAAATGTGGACAGCTCTCCCATGCTGACAACTTAGAGGCTTGCTCACCTTCTCTTATGACCACAGAGCCAGCTCTCCTACCTGTCCCACCCATGCCACCACCAGACAGATGGGTAATGGGGGCAGCACTCCCATGTTCAGTTTCAGGTGTGCTGCTCTGGCAAGGTGCAGGGCCTGCTTTCTTGAGTTTGTAGCTGGTGGGGGTTGGAGATGGGTTTCGGTGTGGGCTTTGGAAACCTCAAGGCCTTCCCTCAGTGACACACCTCCTCCAACAAGGCCACACATCCTAAATCCTTCCCAAACAGTTCCACCTTCTGGGAACCAAGTGTTTAAACATAAGAGCTTATGGAACCATTCTCACTGAAACCATCAGAAGTTTCCTGACTGGCAGGAGGTGACCCTTGCTTCTTCCAGTTATGTCCCTGTGTCCTATCAAAGCAGAGGACCACTTGAACTACAGTCTGTATCTGAAATGTTGTGAGTTTCCTTTGTGTTAACAAACTTTATACCAGAACCCAAAGACCTGGGAATCGGACCCACGAAGAAGAGTCTGTGTGGAAGATAACCTCCAAGATACCCGCAATGGGCATCTCATGTCTTGGCTAGTTCTTTTCTACAATGTTAGGGCTGGCTTTTGTAGCCAGTAGGCTATTGTTGAAATGGGAGTAAATAACTTCCTCTGTCTGGCCACAAAAAATTGTCTTTTTTTCTTATTCTTCCTTGGGAGGGAGATGTGTCATGGGGGAATCTGTGGAGAGGTGAGCTGCCATGTTGTAAGGACATGGTGAGATCTCTGTGAGGAGGATCAGAAGCCTCTGACTGGTAGTCAAGCCAGTCAGTTAATGATTCAAGAAGTGGGTCCTTCCCAGCCTCAGCCAGGACTTTAGGTGGCTTGTACAACATCTTGATTATAATCTCATGGACTATTTGGCTTGGC